CTCTCTATTAGTTATTTATTAATATCGTTCGCACATTCCATTGCACGAACACAAAGAAGCTTATCGTTAGTGAATATAAAAATGGAAATTCCATTCGACCATTAAACGTAAAATGACATATAGGATGGTCTCATCAAAGGACATATGGGATAGTCAAGCGTCATCGCACGACCAGCTTCCACATGCTAAGAAAGAATTTTCCCAATGTTAAAAACTGATCACTTGATTGCACTGAGCGATATTACTATATGATAGATCAGTGGTTCTCAGCTTTTGCACCCCATACCCTCCTTTAACGATCCGGCACAGACGGTTTCACCTCCTTCAAACGATCCAGGCCACTGTCATTCGTTCCTAATTGATCACAAGAAATTTAGGAAAGTATCCCATTGATCAAGAAGTTGCCTATCAAAAATTCCTCCGTTGTATCGAAAAAAAATCAATTCCTCGCGATCATACGGCGTTTTGAAATTATTATTGGGCAAATAGTGTAGAATCGTGAGAGAATACAATCAGTAATGATTTGCCAACTTCTTCAATTACCCCTTGGTACTCTGAAATTACCCTAAAGGAACATCCTTTCTTCTGAGAGAGAACCATCGTGACAGACAAACATAAAATGTATAGGAAGTGAATGTGATATGTAACAGGAAAGACCCATATTGTGCAAACAGAAATACAGATATCATGAAGATTATAATGCGCTTGATGAACGAGCTTAATGGTAACACGCAAGTCAAGTTGCAATATCAAATAGGATACTTGGAATTAATTTGGAACTTATGAATTACAGATAGAAAACATAGCAATGAATGATATGAATAACACGCAAAACAAATTTCGATCTGACATTAAAAAGTAAAAAATTTATTGCTATGATGCATTTGGAATACAACTTTAAAAATTACAATTCGTGTTTCTATACAACACTTTATAAATTTCTTATGGGTATCTGAGAGTTTTTCATGGGCAAAATTTTTGAACAGTGCAAAATCAGAGAACTGATAAAGCATCATTAGTGAGCAAGTATGATTCTCGAGTATGACTCACAAATACTATCGCCCCATCAGGATAGGATTTATCATATATGATGGCGACTTTCTACCAAACCGAAATTTGCGGGCACCCAAAATTCGTCATACCCGTCTCCCATTCAATTTTCACTGGTTGTTCGTTGTTTTTCCCTGCACTCCTACCCTTATTCTTCGGTAAAGCGTGCTGCCGTCGACGATATATCTCGCTGACGAATTCGAAGTCACGCGTACGAACCACTGTAAAGCTAGCGGAGTTCTTGTTAGCGTTCATCTTTTTGATCGCATAAAGTCGATCGTTTTTATCAACACTGATCCAGCAGATCATAGCACCGTTGTCACTGCCGAACTGCAAGCGAAACATTTCACGGCGATTGACACGACAATTAAACATTCGGTTTTGGTTTCGTCTAAAGCCTCTAACTACGCAAAAAAATAACTTTGCTAAATTAACTAAACTTCACAGAAAAACCAGAATTAATGTGCTGAACCTTTAGAATAGATTGATTCACTTGAACAAAACTAATGAAATGAATAGAATTGTCCTCATTAAATGGAAAACAACTTGTTCTTTCTCACGATAACCCTTATTCTAATTGATTTTGCTGCAATAATTGTGATCAGAACCTTCATTATAAATATCAAAATATCAAGATAATAGCTAAACACATGAATAAGTTTGAATCGACGGTCATTGTTCATCGTATCGTCATAGCAATTGCAATAAATTCCATCAATTAAATGCTTGTTTCTTTTGGATTGTAATTATCGAATAACAACTCATGTGAATGTGCTTCTCCTTCTCACGATCAGTAGCACAACATTATGCATAAAACTGAGAAATCTCTCACCTGATACCAATAATCACCTAAAACATTCTTGGAAGTGATACCCAATCTTAGAAATAGCTCTCCATCGTCAGTCAGCAGCCAAACTGAAACTCTTCCAGATTCGATCTGCTTCAAGTGGCCAGTCATAGCCGAGGGTGTCTCGACAGTGTGCCAGTCTATAATGATCGAACTAAGTGATCTGAGTTACAACAAAAATGAAGGATCTCAAGCTTCGAACCAGAATTCCGGAATGGAAATAATTCAGAACAACGATGATATGTCAAATAAACAGTCACAAACGTGTACAGGCAAATTGGAGCAGTTTGAAGAAGTATTTTAGCTTTCAACTATGAGATGATAAACGAACCAGCACAAGTGATATCAGTGGCATTCATTACTGTGCGTACCAGAACGGTGTTTTGTGCTGTGATTGCCCAAAGGCAATTGCTTGACGATGCGCATACATCCACTATGTGAATGTTTTCACTGCACACCTGAACTTTAATTTTGCTTTATTGATGAATTAATATACATTTGCATATAGTTTTCTATGTGTATGCATTCGAATTATGTGTCTCCTTTTGAAGTTTCGCTTCAAACTGTCAAACTGCTGGTTCTATCCAATTTTACGAGTTGAAAGCGCACAAGTAACATTGTGAATGATCAATATAGCGGAGTTGAGATAGTCGATCAGAGTTCATCTCCCGAATTATTCATGTCTGATAAGAGTTTCCGAAAATAGCACAGAATGAAAAAGTATGCACCTCCTCCCAAAAATCACCAGCTGGATTTTGTGCTGAAACGCCGCCTCTGCATAGCAAATCACCACTAGTTGTGATCGCCCAAACGAACATCTGAAACGCATCAATCGAGAATAGTTATTCATTTCAAAGGTGCACCATCATATACCAGAAATTTTGCAGCGAACGCAAAACGATATCAAAGAACAACTCATAATTAGGACAAAAAACCTATAATATTCCTATGATTGCATCACATAATCGTGAACAAAATCAAAGGCAAATATTAACAGTAAATGATAAGGAAAACGGTCATTTTTCGGTGGCTAGACGATCATATTAATATTAATTTCTTCTTTTTCTAAAATGCAAGATGAGATCAAAAAAGTCGCATTCGAACAATACCTTTGAGAGTGGAAAAGTTTCAAGGTTTCGACTTAAAACGAAACAGTTTGTCTGAATTGAATGCATAAAGAGACTTCTCATTGTTATCAGTGTTCTATCTCGCAGACAGATCAAAAATAAAGGTTCAAAATATTTAGCACGAATCAGCATACTGGTTTCATATCAGTTTTTTGCACATACACCGATAAGAGCTTCGGTGCATCGACCTGTATCCACGGTCCTGGCATTTCCATCACACGTAATCTCCGCCATTCACGCCTCCTTAATGGTCCTGAAATCCGAACTTCCAAAGTACTTGTTACCCGAACTTCCAAATTGAAATGTACTGATAAACTCTTTCAAGTTAAATAATGTGAGACGTTGATATTTTGTGAACTTTTATTGCCTAGAAAAAATATTAGTACACTACAGATATATTTTTCACATCTGAATTTACGAGCGTTTTGCGAACTAAACTCTGGAATTCACTGAAACTTTAGGATGGCGTGAATGGCGGATTGCGAAGCATATCTACTATATAAGTTCATCCGTTTTTCAATTCGCATTCATATGAACATGTTGGTTGGTTCACTTTTTGTCTGGTTCAATATCCTTTCAAAGAGCCACTTTACCCTTTTTCTCAACGAATTCTTCATCGAATTTTC